TGTGTGTGTGTGTGTGTGTGTGTGACCTTGTCTTTCTTTTAAAAACGTCATTTGAAGACAAACCTTAAAAATAAGATTTATAAACCCAATCTCCCTGAATGTATATATATATATATATATATATATGCCATACAGACACACAATTTATTTATAAAGACATTTTTATTTATATATATATATATATATATATATATATATATATATATATATATATATATGAAAAAAGACATGAAAAGAAAAGAGAGAAAGAAAGAAAGACTTTTTAATATTTTCTTTTCTATATTTGTATTAAAATTGATGCAAACTTCAAATTATTCCCAGGCAAAATGTAAAGCACAAAAGATAGTGAAAACTGAAAATTAAATTTCTTTTAAATAATTGTTCTCGTAAATTAACTTGAAGAAAACGACGTGTAAGTTAAGTAGGATACGTTTAGATATACACATACATACATACATACATACATGCATACATACATGCGTATCTGTGTGCGAAAATTTTTTATTCATTTATACACGTTTGATAGAATTTCTGGTAAATTGTACTCGAAAAATAATGCAAAAACATTTAATGAAAAGTGTGCGCAGGGAAATGATAGGAAAGAATAAATTAAAAACAAGAAAAAGAAAGAAAACTATAAGAAAAAAGAAAAAAGAAAAAGACACAGAAAGAAGAAAAATAGATGCGAGAAAGGTCTGGGTAATGTGAAAGAAAGAAAGAAAGAAAGAAAGAAAGAAAGAAAGAAAAGTACAAAAGTAAAAAGAAACAAAATAAACATTCAATCAAAACACAAAGAAAGGAAGAAAAAAAGAAAGAAAGAAAGAAAGAAAGGAAAAAGAAAGAAAGAATGAAAAAGTAGAAAAGAAAAAAAAGGAAAGAAAACAAACATTCAATAAAGACAGAAAGAAACTGCAAAAGAAAAAAATATTCAATGAAAAATGAAAGAAGGAAAGAAAAAATGAAAGGACGAAGAAAGAAAGTAAGAAAAAACGAAAGAAAATAAGAAAACGAGAACAGAAAGAAACAAAGGACAAAAGAAAGAAGAAGAAAAAACAAAAAGAAAGGCAGAAAGTAAATAACAGAAAAAGAAATGAAGGAAAATGAATGAAAGAAAAAGAAATAAACGAAAAATCTGAGAAGACAAATCTAAAATAAATAACCAAAACTGAAGAAAATGTGGGAAGGAGGGAAGGAAGGAAAGAAAGATAGAAAGAGAGGAAAAAAGAAAGAAGCTACAATTAATAGATTCAGACTGAAGTATATCTTTAAAAATAAAATCCAAAAACCTGGTAAGAATGAAAGAAAGTTTAAACACTTCCGTTCTGGTAAAAGAAGATTAAAGAAAGAATTGAGTGAAAACGTAAACAGAAAGAAGGAAAAAAACGATATGAAGGAAAAAAAACGATATGAAGGAAAAAAACGATATGAAGGAAAAAAACGATATGAAAACAAGAAAGAAGTGGAAAGAAAGACGAAAAAATGGCAAAAAAAGAATTAAATCAAAAAAGTAAAAAATGTAAATAAATATTGCCTTTCATTAAGAGATATTAACAGCTTTCAAGATTTAAAAGATAAAATGTTTTTATTTGCCAGATACAATTTCTTTTTGATGTGCTCAACTTTTTTGCTTGATGGAAATTTGAAATGCAACGTAATGCAATCTACTCAGCCCCAATTTACAAAACCATCAGTCGGTAGGTCATCCTACCGATTTAAATTGCAATGGTTTTACTTTTACCGGCAGTTGCTAGTGTTCAAATCATTGCCAAGGCAAATATTTCAGTTATTTTAAAAAGAGATTTTTTCTATTCGATACTTTTGAAGAACTGGAATTGCCAAAAAGATCATTTTTTTAAAATCGTGATTGCGTTTTCGGTAACGAATGAAATCGATGAATTAGAACGGATAGTATTTAATTGACTCATCCCATCATAGAAAATATCACACTTCTTCTCCTCTTCCTTCATCTTCTCCTTCTTCTTCTTAACCTTCCTCCTCCTCCTCCTCCTCCTTCTTCTTCTTCTTCTTTGTGTCGCGTAACCTTAAGACGTAGGTGATCATGGCTCTCCACAACTATCTATCTATCTATCTATCTATCTATCTATCTATCTATCTCGTGTGGCTCTTAGCAGTTTTCTCGTTTTGCTAAGACACCTGATCCCCCGTTCAGCCATCAATTCGTCAGGTATGTGGCTCTCGCAGCGTTCACCCTATCTATCTTGTCTTCAATATGCCCTGTGTGGGTTAAGTTTTCCGAGCACTCCTTCCGCATTATGTGTCCGAAGTATTTCAGCTGTCTCTTTCTGATTTTCATTATAAGTATTCTTTCTGTTTCCATATTCTTTAACACATCCTTGCTGAGTGTTCGCGCTGTCCATGGAATTCTCAATATCCTTCTGTAAACCCACAATCATGGCAACAAACAATACAAATATCGCGCTAGGTTAGTTTAACACGAGGCAAGAAGTAAAAATCGCCAAAAGCCAGTGTCTTAAAGGCAACATGGGTGGTACCCCGAGCCACGATCCCCCACCCGTTAGTGCAATGGGGATGTGCTGCTTCACATGAATATCCATAAGGGATGCATATCAGCATATCTGCATCCATTTGCTCATATTTAAAGAAAATGTAGCTGAGCCTATCTATTGTTCTCTTTTAATCTGCATGAAATTTTCATCATTGGTAGTGTTGTATCGTCGATGTGAATGATACACAGAGAAGAATGACTGCTTACTATATTTATTCAGCACCAGTATGCGATGCTAACGGATACATACAAAAAAACACAGAACAATAAGTTACAAATCAATTAACAAGACAACTTACAAGGGATAGAAGACGGTCAAATGTTGTATAGCAAAACGAATATGAATCAGCTTATTATCAAATTATTAATCAAATCTCTAAGTCATTAATCGTAGACTATTTAAGGCTATGAGCCAGGTCATCTGGTAGAGTGCTGAATTGTTGCAAGCTAGATATTAATCAACCGCTGAAGTCCTTAATTGTAGACTATGTAAGGTTATGAGCCAGGTGGTCTGGTAGAGTGCTGAAGGGGTGCTAGCTAGTCTACAACAGGTAGTTATTCCAATTAATTTAAAAGTATATGAAATAAATTGTGACGTCCCCCGGTGTCGCTGCGCCAAATGTGACGTCTGCCTGGCCGCGCCCGCCGTGCTGTCCTAGTCGCGGCGCCAGTTATGACGTCACCCTGACTGTCTCCGCGCCGTCGCCGTCCTATTCTGTCCTGTGACGACCTATGTGACTTGGTATTGTTCGCGGCACCAAACGTGACGTTCTAACCATTTGCTGATTCGGATGGGAATCTGGTTAGATTCGGTATCAGCCTTGTCGTTCCCAGCTCGCCTCCAACGTCTGGTTACCGAAGTAACTGTTTTGATTTCTAGTCTAACCTACCCACGTTGTGATTTGATCTTAGGTAGACGAAATCAATCAGACGCCGGGCCGTAATGCAAGCTGAGTCCGGACAAGGGCAACACCGCACAGGTATATGTAAAAGAAAATAAAGTAATAACTTGAAAAGTTCAGATGTGTTAAAAAAGGATAACAATATTTTATATCTGGTTTCTGAATACAGGACTGCGTCTTTCTCCCAAACCGCTGTATGGATTCGTGACACTTTGTGTTTGTTATGCGAGTCTTAACATCTTAAATTGTTTGTTCTTTAATAAACTGGTTCTTGGTGTATCTTCAGGCGATATTCGTAAATTTGTTTTGGTGGTGTGAGTCTAAGTCGTTCTTCAAAAATAAATTGTTCTTGGTTAGAAGTTGAGTTCGGAATTGCGTGGATCTCAGTCAGTCTCCTGCGAGGCGTCTGCGAGCTATCAGCTCACTCCAACTGCTTGCATGTCTGTCTAACCCCAACTGCTCAGCTGCGAACTCGACTCAACTCAACTGCCGCAACTCGTTGTGACTCTGCTTATATGGTCGCCGACCAAAACCGGGGTGGGCTTGTCGGGGTTTGAGGTTCCTTGATAATTCTAAATCCAAAATCCACTTCTTTGTTTTCGGTCAGGAAAATTTTTTTTATTTTCCATTTTTGGAAGTCCTTCCAGATTCTTCCTTTTTCATATGGGTATCTCACCCAATCCCTTCAGGGGGCGTCAACAGGTTTCCCCTCTCTCTCTCACAGTGGCATCTCACACCGATCCCTTCAGGGGGGGCATTAACAGGCCTCCCCTCCTTCTTCACATGATTACCTTCGCCTGCCGCTCACGCCACCATTCAGCCAATGACCGCCCAGCAGTGTGGGTGTGGCTAGACTGGCCTCGGTTTAAAAAAAAATCTTGCTCAGAGAAAAAAAAATATCTTCCTTTTTCTTTTCCTTTCTTTTCTTTCTTTTCTTTCCTTTCTTCTGCCCGACAACAACCCAATACGACCCGTAGTGTGGTCTCTTAATCTCAATTTTATCATGAATGTCACCTGGGATTCATCACTCGGGACCTTCGCCAAACAAGTGGGTGGTCATCCGGCGATATCCACGTTCCAGTCAATTATTCGTTTTGATAAAATAATTCTTCTATCGTGGCCAGCTTCGACATAAAACAGGTGTTTTTCCCAAATGATATCGGGGTGGGTCCAACGGACATTTTGGTTTCGGTCAGAGCTAGACCTAATTAATTTTTATCTCCCAGCATTCTGCGGGAGGCCCAGAGGGCATTTTCTTTCGCGACCCAATTAATTTTTATCTCTTAGTTTCTGTTTCGTAGGCCATTTGACCAAACTGAAATTTTCCTTATTGCCATTGGCAGATAGCTATATCTTATTCGGTGCGTCGTCATAAATCAAATTAAATCTGGTGCCTTACTCTCTTCGCTAATGAAAATAAAATCTTTCCACTTTTCTTTGTTAAAAAAATAACATCGCTTAGTGTCCTTTTCGTGATGGCTTCTTATCACCTAAATTTAATTCTCGCCTTTTTTTTCTTTCTCGCAACCCTGAATAGTGTCACAAAATGAATACAATATATATCTGACTTCTTAAAGACTAGTTTCTATGGCAAATGAGAAGAAAAAGGAAAAACAGGAAGAAAAAAGAAAATGCCAAGAAAAAGGAAAATGTGATGAAAAAGAAAAACATGAAGAAAAAGGGAAATGGGAAGAAAAAAAGAAAATGGGAGGAAAAGCGGAAATCGTACAAAAAGGAAAATGCAAAGAAAAAATGCCAATAACAAGGAAAAATGCAAAGAAAAACGAAAATGCGAAGAAAAAGGAAAACGGGAAGAAAAAGAAAATGGGAGGAAAAGCGAAAATCGAACAAAAAGGAAAATGCAGAGAAAAAAATGCGAAGAAAAAGGAAAAATGCAAAGAAAAATTAAATGCGAAGAAAAAGGAAAATGGGAAGAAAAGGAAAAATGAGGAGAAAAAAAGAAAATGCGAAGAAAAATGAAAATGGGAAGAAAAAGTAACATGCGAAGAAAAAGGAATATGTGAAGAAAAAGTAACTTGCGAAGAAAACGAAAATTTAAAGTAAAAAATGAAAATGCAAAGAAAAAGGGAAATGCAAAGAAGAAGGAATAGGCCAAGAAAAAGGAAAATGGGAAGAGAAATGAAAATGCGAAGAAAAAGGAAAATAAGAACGAAAAAGAAAATGAGAAGAAAAAGAAACATGAGAAGAAACAAGTAACATGCTAAGAAAACTTAAATGGGCAAAAATTGAAAATACGAAGAAAAATGTGAAGAAAAAAGGAATATAGAAAGAAAAAACAACATGCGAAGAAAAAGCAACATGCGAAGCAAAAGGAAAATAAAAGAAAAAGGAAAATGCGAAACGAGGAAAATGGGAAGAAAAAGAAAAAATGCGAAGAAAAAAGAAATGTACAAATAAAAACAACATACGAAGAAAAAGCAACAAGTAAAGAAAAATGAAAATGGGAAGAAAAAGGAAAATGGAAAGAAAAGGGAAAATGGGAAGAAAAAGAAAAATGGGAAAAATGTAAATGGGAAGAAAAACCAAAATGAGAAGAAAAAGGAAAATGTGAAGAGAATCGAAAATGGGGAGAAAAAGGAAAATAGGAAGATAAATGAAGACGTGAAGAAAATGGAAAATGCGAAGAAAAAGGAAAATGGGAAGAAAATGGAAAATGGGAAGTAAAAGGGAAATGGGAAGAAAATGGAAAATGGGAAGGAAGAAGGAAAATGGGAAGAAAAAGAAAAATGTAAAAAAATAGAAAATGGGAAGGAAAAAGTAAAATGGGAAGAAAAAGCAAAGTGGGAAGAAAAATGAAAGTGGGAAGAAAAAGCAAAATGGGGAGAAAAAGGGAAATGGGAAAGAAATGGAAAATGAGAAGAAAATGAAAAATGCAAAGAAAAAGGAAAATGGGAAGAACATGGAAAATAGGAATAAACAGGAAAATGGGAAGAAACTGGAAAATGCGAAGAAATAAGTTAATGTGAAGAAAAAGCAAAATGGAAAAAAAAGGAAAACGGGAAGAAAAAGCAAAATGGGAAGAAAAGGGAAAATGCGAAGAATAAGGAAAATGGGAAGAAAAAGGAAAATGCGAAGAAAATGGAAAGAAAAAACAACATGGGAAGAAAAGGGGAAATGGGAAGAAAAAGAAAAAGTTCGAAGAAAAAGGAAAATGGGAAGAAAAATGAAAATGGGAAGAAAAGGCAAAATGGGAAGAAAAATGGAAAATGGGAAGAAAAGCAATATGCGAAAAATGGATTGAACGGTGAAAGCAAAACGATGTTTGTAAAATCTTCACGATATAGTTAAATTCTAAGGATAAATCCATCCAGTAGATTATTGATCTTATAATCTTTTCCCTCAACTTATTCGATGATATGAGAAATATTTATGCACCTCGAGGGTTGTGTATATAGGTAAGCGCGCCCGCAGGTGTATGTATGTGTATGCGTATTATGTATAGTGTATGTGTATGTATGTCTATGTGTATTATCGTCCAGTTATAGATTTTCATCCTTTTCATTTCTCAACTATAAAAGTTTACATGGGTCATAATATAAATATAAGATTAAAAAGGAAACAAGATATTATTGAGTGATAGAAACACCGCTTTGAAATTGCAAAAATGTTGACAAATAATCAGAGATCCATTACTGACAAAATAATACCAACGAAAAAGTTATTTGTAATGTTAAAAAAAGAGATCTTACAAGATTTATTAGTAAGCAGACTTTCATTTATCTCCCGAAGGAACGATGACACTTTTTTTTTTAAATTTTTTTGTGAGCAGCTTTTGTGGGAGGGGGCTTGCCATCTTATCCTGGAAGTATGGTAGATGAAGCTGGAATGTGGAATGAAAGTCTGAGAGTGCTCTCTCTGTTTCTCCATTCAACAGTTCGTTTCACTCTTCCCGCACTTCATGATCCCTCTTCGAACAGCATAGAGCCAGCGGACGCGGAAATCGTCTACTGGCTGCTCCGAGCTACCAGAATCGATGCCTGTCAGTTTCAGTACTTCTTTCAGGTGTCCTTGAACATGATGGAGGTCTGACTAAGAAAAAACATTAAAAGGGTTAAAAGAAGAAATGGCGACTAACCACCAAGAAATTATTTACATTATTCGGACTAATGTCTTCATCTTTGTCGCCATATTTATCACAACGTTTCGGCCGTTGTGCGCCCCGGCCTTCTTCAGGTGGTTGGACTGTCGAACTGAACCCTTTATTTCGCTCACCGGGGTAGACCACCTGAAGAAGGCCGGAGCGTACACCGGCCGAAACGTTTTGATAAATATGGCGACGAAGATGAGGACAATAGTCCGAATAATGTAAATAGTGTACATAATACCTCATCTCAGAAATATAGACAGACATCAAGAAATTGTTTAAACAAACTGGTGTTGCTGATGTAAACAGAGTGAAAAGATGTAGAACATTAAGAATATCAACTAAAGAAAAGATAACAACGAAACCGCCATGTTTGAGAAAACTTCACAAAGAGAAATGTTTATATTTGACAAAAGTACTTGAAAACTTATTTCTCAACAGTCGTTATCGGCACAGGCTCACATCCTTTCATCGGGATTGTTATCCTTCCTCCCTATTCTATTTCTCTCCTCTGGTGGTGGAAATGGCGGTGAAGGCCCAGCCTACTCATTAAGAGTTGTGAGCAGGAGTCCCAAAGGAGTGTGGGTGATGGACGCGGCTGGGCGAGCCTGGACTCCCTGATTGCACGTCGCATATACTCCTCTCTTCCTTTTGACACTTGGACTCGAAAGTCTCGCGCCCCCACCCTCGGATAATCCTACGCCAAAAAGGCTGATTTTCGGCAACGGTTTCCCAGGTCTCACCGTCGTTTTTGGCCTGTGTCGTGGATGTCTTCAGCTGATTCTTGAAGCGTCTTTTTGCGCCTCCCTGTAGCCTCCTGCTGCTGGTGAATTCTCCAAATATGATGATAAGTGGATATCGAGCGTGACATATTCGGGAAACGTGACCCACCAAGCGGAGGCGATTCTCAACAGTAAATACTAGGGATGAGTGTCGAACTGGAGGCAGAGTAAAATGCTCGATCCTTCCTGGAAATAGTCAATAACGCTTGTTTGAATAAATCTTTCAGCTATTACTTTTCGTACGATTTAAAAATTGATGCAGGTGACAAGATAATTTCAGCGAATTATTCTAAGTATTTAGACGATACATATTTTTGAGTAACACAAGTCAGAACAAAGAAACTTTAAACTAAAGAATATATTTATAGCAAATAAATAAATTAATGCAATGGCCTACGGCTTCTCCAGATACGAATCCAAAAGTAGACTTGACGTCAACCATTAAGAGATACGCAGAAAAAAGAAAAAAATATTCAAGCAAAGATCTATCCAAAGCAATAAGATCTATTGTAAAGTTAAAGTTGAAATATTAGAAAAATATCAATGAATGAAAAAAATACAAAAAAATAATATCAAAGACCCTAGATGAATATGTATCCTATAAAATGATGATATATATGGAATATTGTGTTACTAAAATATATTATTTCTTAGCGTTTTAATTTGTAAAATAGAATCTGACACACATAAAAAAGGAGATATATTATAAGCTCATATTGACGTTGTATCTTTATCCTATATAAACATATATGTTGTTTATTGTAAATAATTAAAAACAAATAAAAAATGTCTTACATAGTTAAATCTAACAAATTATAAATGCATGACAAGAAAATTCTAGTAGAAAGTGGCTTCTTATCGTGTAACGTGTAGGTTGGGAACATAAAAAGTATTCCAATTTTTGAGAGGTGAAGTACTGAATTCTTAGTACTTACTAAGAAACAGATACTAAACACGGCTTAAATATTGCTACTGACTTATAAATTTTCCTGTATGTGGAATGTTTTGCGCATTCTCAAGCTGTACTTAAAGACCATCAAAAGAACAAACACATGTAGGGCATGAATGTTGGAAGATAATGTTGAACCTTCATGCATCGAAAATGAATCAATTCATTCTGTTTTACTTTGTTCACTTTTGTTTGTTTATAAGTCTATCTGTTGGGTTTCTTCTGAAAAATTGTCATCTTTCAGTGTGATAAATGCTTGTGATTCATCGATGCAATTTATTCGTTCGTCTTTCTCTAATGTTACGGGATTCTTTTAGCTTTCATGTTAAGATCGTATTGTGCTGCTTTTGGTGCCTTTTCTGTATTAGTTATGCTGTCCTTGAGTCGTTTCTTGTGTTTTGGAGGCTTACCTCCTATAAATGTCTACGTCTGTGCGCTGCAATAAATACATTAGGCGAATTGTTTAATTTTGCTTATATCTCCTTTCAGTATTTTTTTTCTGGAAGAATTTTTTGTGGATTTTTATGTTTCTTACTAAGTTAATCAAATCTATCTCGAAGTCGTCTAATTCCTAGTGTTGCGGGGAACAGGTTTTTGTTTTAACGCCGTATTTTTCTTTGAGAATGGTATTGTGTTAAGTTCTTGGTTTAAAAGGCAATGCGATTTCTATCTCATTCTTTTTAGGGGGATTTCTATTATTTAATAAATTTTAGTTTGTAAGTGGATCGTGATGGGGTGGCTAGGATTTTTAGGAGTAGTCGAGGCCAAACCCTTTACGTGTCCATGATAGTATGCTATATATATATATATATATATATATATATATATATATATATATATATATATATATTATATTATAAAACGCAGATTGTGTATGTGTGTGTCTGTAACGTTTTATATTGGATCGGATTCCTACATTTTTCAACTGATTTCAACAAAACTTCACAAGACTACATAAAATTACCTTGTGGTGGTTCTAACAGCGCCAAAAATGGGGAAAATATAATTGTTTTTGCACAAAATCAATTTGAAAACACGATTAAGAGACATCGTGAAAATGGAAGAGGGGACAACTCACATCGGGTTGTTTGTGTGTGTGGGTTCCTTTAAATATGGGAGCGGATTTCCTATATTTTTCAGCCGATAAAACAAAACTTCACTTTTTTTTTTGGCAGGTAATATTTCTTATTCTCTTGCCCACTTTTTTCTTTATTTTTAACATTCAGAATGCTTTAAAAATTCCATTTACAAGACAATTGTTCATAAAATTCTATTCAATCGGGAGACTCATAACGATTGAAAACAATTGTTTGAGTTTGGGTTTGACCAATTCGTAAAAAAAAACTAATTAAGACATGCGTGTCCGTCAAGCTTAAACAATAATCTAACGATCCCTACTGATTGTACGAATACAAACATCGGAATAAATTCTTTATCTTTAGGGAAAGATAATGAAATCTAAACATACACAAGTCCTAACTAAAAATAATAACCGGAACGGGAAACTACTTTAAATACACATGGTGTCCAATTTTTTTTACTGTATTCAATAAGTAAAAATCATAAATTGTAAAAGATTATTATTACAGAAAGGCTACTAAATGAATAAGATTTGTTAGATCATAATTCATAAACCCAAATAAAGTTAATATTTTTTGTATTAGAAACAACGAGTGGAAAATATTCAAATCAGAATTCTAATTATGAATCACCACAAGCAAAATATGCAATTTTTTTTACTGTATTCAATAAGTAAAAATCATAAATTGTAAAACTAAAAGATTACAGAAAGGCTACATACATTTTTCAACCGATTTCAACAAAACTTCCCTTCTTTTTTTTTTGGCATGTAGTGTTTCTTATTGTCTTGCACACTTTTTACTTTATTTTTACATTCAGAATGCTTTAAAAATTCCATTTACAAGACAATTGTTTATAATAAAATTCTATTCAATCGGTAGAGACTCATAACGATTGAAAACAATGTTTTTGTTTGAGTTTGGGTTTGACCAATTCGTAAAAAAAAAAAAAACTAATTAAGACATGCGTGTCCGTCAACCTTAAACAATAATCGTTGTCAATTTTATTGTTCAGTCTTTACGATGGTGGATACTTGATCTATCCCTTACTGTTATATCCCCGGGCGACGCCGGGCTCTACTGCTAGTATATATATATATATATATATATATATATATATATATATATATATATATATATATAACATTTGCGTATTTAGGCAGTAATCCTTCTTCAAATTTCAAAGGCAACGATTAAAGTGGGTCAACAGTTGTTTACTCTCCTGTGAAATTTCAGAGTTAATTAAATCCACAGGGTCCATTCGTCCCCGGTTGTATGGGTTACCTAAAATCCATGAGGACGGTGTCCCTTTACGACCCATTCTCTTCCATGATTGGGTCTTCCCAGCATAAAGTCGCTAGTTGCCTCTCGAAAGTGCTACAACCAGTTTTGTCGCACTTCAGTACTTACTGC